TCTGACATGTTCGGGGTAGTTTGTTTGTCTGTCTCAGAAGTTGTGCTTCACAAATAGCATCGCTGTCAATTGGAAACTGGAGTAGATCAGAGCAAATCTTGACATTAGGTTGTAACTGCTTGCATGTTTCTAGATCTTCAGGAAGTATGTACAGTAAAGAATTGTCATCTCGCGCAATAAATTTTATTGAAGTGGATAAAATGTGGTAAATACCTGTTCGATTATCCAATAATGGAATAGGAAAGATTTTAAAAAGAGTATAAGTTTCAGGTTCGATTAGAGGAATTTTAAGAACAAATACAATTTTATTTTCTGTTTGATAGGCCTCTAATTCTATTATGTCAAGGTATTGACCAATGTTGGAAGAATATGTCGGTAAAGGTAAATTATTTTTAGAGAGAGATTTTGAAATATCTTGAAGAGAAAATACTAGATCTCTAGGTGTGATTATAGAACTATGTAGTATTCTTAAACGCGCGAATGTGATGGCATTCAAAATGTCATTAAAGAATCTTCTAAAATACATAACTTTCCATTAGAGATTGGCATATGTCTAGAGCTTTTATTTGACTTTCATAAAATGCAAAATCATCGGATAAATTTGACATAGAAGTTTGAATTTCAAAGCGATGTTTTCATTAAAACTTTCTTCATCGATCTGCAACTTTCTAATAGTAGAATTAAACTTGATATAACTGATGTAGTAACAGATATTTGACTTTTCAATAAATTTTCTATTTCCTTTCGTCGCGATTAATTTTGTTAATACATTCATTGTAATAGTCTCCATCTGAAGAGTCTAAATTGCCTGTTATAGATTTAAAAATACTGCCTATACCATTGATTAAGCCGCGTCTTGCTCTTAATTCGTATTTCTTTTGTTTCTGTTGTAATTTCTTTAAATTTTAAATTTACAGAGTCAGCGATCTGAGTTAAAAGATTAACGTGCGTTTGTATTGTATGTTTAAATGATATCATTCGAGGGTTAAGATTGATCGAATGTGTCTATTAAGTTAGAAAGAATTTTGTCATTATTAGAAATAGATTGTTTTATCGGTTCGAGTTCCTTATACACTAAAAGAGTCCACTTATTATTAGATACTCGGATAGTATCTTCTTCGTGAAAGAATGTTCCAACGGTGTTGTTTATGGGCGTGATGAAGATTTGAGAGCTTGTTGTTGGCACTAGCCAGAGAAATCTGAAAAGAAAATAGACTATTCGTAGAATGGTTTTAGTCTATCAAAATTTACTTTTGAAATTTGATTTGAATTTAAATTTTTTAATTTTGCGGAAGTTCCATAAAGTTCTAAAATTTCGAAAGGACCACTAAATTTATTATGCGATTTATCTTTATTTGAGCTTCTTTAACGTATACTTTATTACCTATTGTAAAATTTGGAAGATTTTAGAGACTGTTTTATCGAATCGAATTTTAGCTTTTCTCTTTTTCTGATTAGTTCTAGATCTCGCTACTTTATAATAGTGTTCCATTCTATTGTTTAAATCACGAATGTACTTAGAGATTAGTCTTTTTGATTATAAAGTGTTTCTGGAGGTCTACTTGATGTATGGCCAAAAATTAACTCGTAAGGGGAAAAACCATGTGTTTTATTCTTTGTATTATTATAGCAAATAACAGAATAGGGTAGTATATTAAATGGATGTTCTTCTGGATGTTCAGCCATATGAACTCGAATCATTTCAGTAAGGGTTGCATGAAATCTCTCAAGTGAGCCATTGGATTGTGGGTGACTAACACTGGAAAATGTTAGCTTGATATCAAATAATTCACAAAGATCTTTCATTAAATTATTGTCAAATTCTCGACCGTGGTCACAGTGTATCCGTAAGGGGGTACCATAGTGTTGGAAAAACAATAAAAGTGTGTTGACAATGGAATGTGCTTTTTTGTCACTAACTGCGTAAGCCTGTGTAAATTTAGTTAGTTCGTCTCGGATAGTTAGAGCATAATTACGAGTAGGAAATTCAAAAATGTCTATATTTATTCTTTCGAACGGGGTCTTAGGAGTTTCCGTAATGACAAGGGGAGTACTGAGATTTTTACGACAGATTTTGACTTTCTGACAAATCTCACAACTTTTTATTAATTTCTCTACATCTTTTGTTAAACCATGCCAATTATACTTTTCTTTTATTCTTTTGATAGTTTCATTTATTCCACGATGTAAATTATTTTTTCCAGTGTGGTACTGATCAAGAATAATAGGAATTTGATCTTGGTCTGGAGTTTGAACAACATTTTGACATATCTTAAGTTTTATGTCGTCGTCAGTAAAAATAAAAGAGAAAAGTTCTAATATCGGTAGCTCTAAATTATTTTCTATACAGTAGGTTTGTGAAAGATCAAAGTTATTTTTTCCTTTATGAAGAATATAAAAAAGATGTTGAACTACTGTTTCATTATCTAAAGGTAACGGAATAATAAAATATTTACGATCTTTAACTGTTTTACTATTGAGAATATTAATGTCATGAGAAGAAACATCTGCATGTTCTTCAAATAAATCGTCTAAAATTTTATTATGTAAATCTTGTAATTTAGTCTGCCAGAAAAATGTGACTATATTTTTATTAGATTTGTCTAATAACTGAGAGTTAGAAATTTCTATTTTAGAATAATCTATAATTGACTTAGTTCTGTATAAATGTACGAATCTATTATATTCTTCAGTTATTGGGTGAGTGTCGTCATTTTCGTCATCATCTGAGTCGGGTACTTGAAAACTAGTTGAAGGGCGGTTATGAATGTCTTTACCTAGGGCTAAAACGGAAATGTTTGATTGAAGATCAGAACAACTTTTAAAATGATTAATTTTTATACGCGACAAAGCATCTGCGTTTTTATTAATTTTTCCGGGTTTGTACACAATATTATAATCGTATTCTTCTAGCTTAAGACGCCAACGAGCTAGGCGACTTCCTGGGTCTTTAATGGAAAATAGCCATGTTAATGGACGATGATCTGTTACAAGGGTAAATTTTCTGCCAAAGAGATAAGGCCTGAAGTGCTTAACTGCCCACACTATTGCGAGTAGTTCTCTTTCTATGGTGGAGTATTTCGTCTCTGCGCTACAAAGTGTTCTAGATGCGTAAGCTATAGGGAGATCTTTCGAAATTGGACCCTGTGAGAGGACAGCTCCGATCGCAAAGGCACTTGCGTCTGTGGTTAAGATAAAAGTTTCGTCGAAATTTGGATATATTAAGATAGGGTCAGAAATAAGGGCATTTCTTAATTCATTAAAGGCGGATGTGCATTCTGAATTGAAAATAAAAGGAATGTCTTTCTGAAGAAGTTTAGTTAAGGGTTTGGAAACTTTAGCGAAATTAGGGATGAATCGTCGATAGTATCCTGCTAAGCCAAGAAAGGATTTAATGTCTTTAGCACACTTAGGAGTGGGAAAATTTTTAATACATGCGACTTTTGACGGATTGGGTTTGACACCATCTTCGGTGATCAGATGACCTAAATAAGCAACTTCCTTTCTTAGGAATTCGCATTTGTCGGGTTGAATTTTCAGGTTAGCTTTGCGAAGACGTTTAAAAACTTCTGTTAATCTTAAAATATGATCATGAATGGTTGCAGAATATACAATAATATCATCCATGTAAACTAAACAGCGCTCATTCTGGATACCAAGGAGAATATTATCCATTACCCTTTGGAATGTCGAAGGGGCGTTTTTTAAACCGAATGGCATGCGAACGAATTCGTAATGACCATTTTCGACTGTGAAAGCTGTTTTTTCGATGTCTTTGGGGTTTATTTCGATTTGGTGGAAACCTGAAGCCAAATCCAGGGTAGTGAAATATTGACAATTACCAAGTTGGTCCAAGAGGTCAGAAATATTTGGAAGAGGATATTTGTCGTCTACAGAAAGTTCGTTTAGTTTCCTATAATCGATGACTATACGCCACTTAGGTTTACCTGACGCATCAAGTTTTTTCGGGACAACCCAAACAGGGGATGACCAGGGTGAAATTGAGGGACGAATAATTTTTTGATCTAACATTTTATTTATCTGTGATTTAACTTCCTCTTTATGAATTTGAGGGTATCTATAGGATCTTGTGAAAACAGGTTTAGCGTTATTAGTGTCTATCGAGTGTTTCACTTCGTTAGTAAAGGTTAGTTTGTCACCTTCGAGATAAAAAATGTCAGAAAAATCAAGACAAAGTTCAGTAATCATTTCTTTTTCTTCAAAATTTAGATGGTCTGTTCTTAATTGATTTTTAATATTTGTTTCTCTATCGAAAGAATTATTATTTTTAAGATCAGGATTAAAATTAAGAATTATATTATTTTTACTAGATTCTGTGTCAAAAGGTTCGATAGTGAAAGTTGAGAAATCGATAGTTTTATTGATAACATTTGCATTGATAATGGAAGTGTAAAATTCGCCAAATTCGTTTACTCGAACTAGAGCATTAGGTAGCCTAACTTTATCTATTTCCTTTGCACATAAAATAGCATCTGTATTAGATAGATTACAAGATAATTTAAAAACTTTTTCAGTTCTACCATCTATAGATATTTGATTTTTATTAAGAGATTTATTAAAAGGTGGTTTATCGAGAATGACATTATTTTCTCTCAGTGTAGAAATGTTTTCTGTAACTTTGTGTAATGGTATGGTTTTAAAATTAGTTATAAGTTCTTTTGATTTTAGGTCTATTACACAATCATAGTGTTCTAAGAAATCTAAGCCTAAAATTCCGTCAAATTCAATGTCAAGATTATAAATATAAACTCTATGGGAATCTCCAGAAGAAAAGGGAATAAGAGTAGAAGTATTTATTGAAAGTTTTTGATCTGTTATACCTTGAATCGTAATGTTTTCGGGACGTCTATTGCGATAATTTTTAGCTATATTTTCTTTAAAGATAGAAATTCCAGCACCTGTGTCTATAAGTAATTTATATTGATTTGAACAGTCATTAATATAGTATAAATTTTTGGAGTTTACTGTTAGGAGAGGGTTTAGAGTAACTTCTGTTCTGGGAAGTTCAGGTTTGGATTCATATCTTCGAGATTCAGCGCTTGTATCTGCGTCTGAATTTCGGATGTGGGGTCTTGTATTAGGGTGTCGGGTGGTTGGTCTTTGGTTGTAAGATCGAGAAAATCCGAATAGTTATCGGGATTAGGGGTGTCATAGGAATATTCATCGTAATAGTCATTTTCTTGAAAATTACCATTATCGTTTAGATCATAGTTAGGATATTCTTCATAAGAATAGTTATTATTAAAATTGTTATCAAAATTTACATGATGAGCTCTTTGTTGGGGTTGATTAAAATTTCTTTGAAATGTAGGTCTTGAAGATTGATTTTGATTTTGTCCATTAAAAGTTCTTTGTTGACTTTGTTGAAAAGTATTAGGTTTGCTTGCTGAATGAGAATTATTATTATTATTAAAATGAGAGGAATTATTATTAGAATTAGAGTTGTTATTATAATTATTATTATTAGGTAAATGTGGTCTAGAAAAATTAGGGTTAGAATTTTGAGAAAAATTTGATCGATTAATATTTTGTCTACACTGATTACTTAAATGACCAATACGATTACAGTTTGAGCATTTAGGAGGTAAAGAGGGTGTTCGGATAGGTTTTAGAATAGGAATGTTAGATTTACTTGTTTTTGATTTTCTAAATATGACAATTGTAGTTCTCTACGAATTTTATTTTGTGCCTCTACCAAAGAATTAGGGTTACTTGCCCTAATTAGTTGGCCTAGACGTGGTTCTAAACCAGTAAGAAGAGTGTTTAAAGACATAGTATCTATTAGATCGGTTTGAGCCATTTTTTGATCTCTAGTTAAATAAGATTTTTGAACATAAGAATGCATTTTTGCATTTAATACTTGTAATCTATTAAAGAAAGTTAATGGTGATTCTCCTGATAACTGTTTTAGTCTTTGTAAATCTTGGATAAGAGAGGATAGGTCACGGGAATCTCCAAAATGTAGTGAAAGTAGTTGTTTAATTTCGGAATAACTAGCTGGATTTCGCGCGAATTGATTAATTGAGCAGCTCTACCTCTAAGTTTGTTTTGATATATATTATTAGAAAACTCTCTGTTGTTCGGTTGCCATATCATATGCGCAATCACACGCATTTAAAAATTGCCTAAAATATTTGGTCGCCTTCGTATTCAGGGACGATTGAAAAAATTTCGGAAAGTTTATAAGCTTCCAATTCAATGGTTGTACCTTGAGCTGTTGCCATTATTTAGTAAAGATTGAAAAAATGTAATTTGACAGTAAATAAAATAGAAATAAAAATTATTAAAATAAAAATGTATTTGATTTAAAAAAATTATATGAAAAGAAGATTGTTTATTTTTAATTTAAGATGATAATAATATTAGATAGATTTTTCTTTAATAAATATTATATTTTATTTAATAATTTAAATAAAATTATTTAGTTTCTTAAATGTTTACTGATTTTATTTTTTTTTTTTTTATAAAATGTACTGAAAAATATACTCAACTATTTTATTTTCAAAAAGAAAATATACTTAATATTTAAATAAAATATTTTCTTATAACTACGTTCAAAATTATTATTTGTATTTATTTTTATTTTATACTGTATTATAAAGAATATATTGAAATATCGAACAGTTTCGAAAAATAAATAGATTTATTTTACAGATTTCAAAAAAATGTATGTGACAAATTCTTGTACTTACATTAATATTATTTCCATGGATTGCCGTGTTCTCGTCGTGACTAACAGGGGCTTCACCAGGTGTTCCCTAATCCTTAGTACTTCGAGTTGGGTTCTCCGGTTCTTTTTTCGTTAAGGGATTGGAATCCGCCGCTGTTTTCTTTGTTCCAGCGTTTTACAAATCCTACACACGACTGCAGCCAATTTGTTATGATGCTTCTGGAGGATTTCACTTTTTAAAAATTATTTTTTAATTGTAAATTATTTTATTATTTTAATTTTTATTATTTATTTTTTTATTAAAATTATTATTTAAAAATCAAAAATTAAACGGACATTATAACGTGCTTTATTAAATGCAAAATTATAAGTATTTTCTATTACAATACATTGGCTTAAATAAAGAATTGATTTGCTGACACCGTGTGATCGCGGCTACGGCGATTTCCACTGCGGATGGCGCAATATCGCTGATGCGGCGATTGGCAGGATGTGGCCATCGGTGTGCTTGACCGGCAAAGGTGTAAAGGTCGATGGAAAACCAATATAACATATATATACAAAAGTATAACTATTGGAATATGTATCGGAATTTAATTACCTCGGCAGTTTGATTTCAGAAAAGGCAAATATCGACTCTGAAATTCAGTACAGAATCAGCAGCGCCTCAAGAGCATTCTGGAAATTAAAAGACAGGGTTTTCTACAATCATGACTTGAGCACAAAAATGGAAGTTGCAGTGTATCGAGCAGTAATACTCCCCATCATGTTATATGGAAGCGAAACCTGGGTGCCGCATGCCGTACCGCCGGCACACGAGGGCATTAAACAAGTTGTGACAGAGACACCTTAGACAACTGTTAAGAATCAAAATTAAATTAATCATGATGGCATAACTAGTATCTCTGCACTTTACAATACAGGGTATTTTGTTCACATTTTTGCTGAATTTTTCACCCTTTTTCAGCAATTTTTTACTTGTTAGTGGCATTTTCTCGTATGAATAATTAGAAATATAGATCATAATATCATGTATGAAGTGGCAATATTGCATTCCTGTTTGTACCATGACTATGGTAATATCAGTGATTAAAAAATTATACCGTGGGAAAATTTACGATGAACAGGCAGTTCCAAAAAGTTTTCTAAAATATACAGGAAAATTTAAAAGAAAATGCTCGATTTTCAACAATTTTTTTTCGCGAAAAAAACTCATAGACGTGTTCCTTAGGTCGAAATATACCACCCCATGAAAATATTTGCACCTATTTCAAACTTACCCTATATAGTATTGGAGGGTTAATATACATATACATTATATATATAAGACCGAGACTTTGAGTCTCATTTAAAGTATTTGACAAATTCGGTCTCTTTGAGAATAATGGATGCCTTCTTTCAAAAACAACAGAGGAAGCCATTAGACAATTTGTTATAGTAAATCGACGGCCTTATATCTTCCTAATGTGTAAGGAAGATTAAAGTTACACCCAATTTTATCTAAAAACGGTCAACTATCGATCTTGCTAGAGCTATTTCGTGTACAATATCTCCAAAGAAAAAAGTTTTATTACGGTAATTATTTTCGGTTAACTAAACTCGTTGTTCTGATATATCGTGGCCGATATTTTTCCGGAATGAAACAATGAACGCTTTGTGGTGAAACAATTTATCTCGACTTCTATAGATGTATTATAATTAATTGATGGTGCGGTGTTAGACTTTGAGGGAAGCGAAATCTAAGAATAAACAAACTACATTAATTCCGAATCGATGACATATTAGAAAAAATTAAGAGATTACAAGCGCATATAAATCTCGTGAATTTTATATATGAAAATTTTGGCTAAATTGAAACAAACATCAATAAGTAATGAATGCTGGAGTGAAACGATAAATAATGAAAACACTGAAATTTAAAAGAAATTATAAATTCTTTCAACCCTTTGTTTCTTCCTCTAGGAGATGCGAGATTTAGTAGTTGGTGGGGAAGCTCCTAGTCAGGTGCTAGTGCTCCTAGTGCCTTCTGGCACTTTGGCTGGGTCTAAGGAGCATCTCATTGGCTCTAGTGTCGTGCCAGGGAATTGCATCAAAACGTAACAGGATGCCGGATGGGACTACCCTGTCTACCATACTAGGCACCCTCTGTTGGGTTATGGGATTAATAATACACGGTCGATTTTAATAAAGAATTATTTATTCCTTTTCTAGAAACACGCACTCGGAAGGTATCTATGCAACTAAACTCTTAGCTGTTTAAAATACATACAACTTCACTGACAAATAACGCATTTAGGCACAGGTGTAAAGGGCCGATCATCTTAGATATCAGTTTTTGTTTATATGTAGATCAAATTTTGGTTTGAGGGCGTGAAAATTAGAAAATAAAAACATTAAACTAAAAGAACAAAATATACATATATAAAAGGAAAGTACCTACAATTAATAGAGAAACAAATAAACAAACTAAATTAAGTGTGGGGTGACCTAGATGTCGAGGTGGCTGGATGACGCTACTTCTGTAAACAAGCAGAAAACAATACCTGAGCAACCAATTTTACATAAATAAAGTTTATAATATTTAATATGTACTATTCATGTTAATTAGCTCAGTTTCCAGATAGGTTTGTTCGTTAGTCCAAACATTCTCTGATAAATGAAACCAAAGAACCATACCATAATAGATAAATCGTAGACAGTAGAAAATATAAGCTATAATATAATACATACATATGCATATGCATATAAAAATATACACACATACAAATATACATACACGCAGAGACTAAATCAGATTCAATGGATATACTATAGCTAGGGTGAAGTAATTATATAATGATGTGTGCACACGGTACGAAGGGATGTCAACGCGCGACGTACCAATCTTCTACCACCAGCGCTAATTACCAGGAACGTGCAATGAGACCAAGGGAAGTCAACGCGCGAGGTCGCTGTTACAAGATAATGAGCTACAGACCTAAAAGCGTACTAAAAGGCCGAAACACTGAAGGGACGTGTACGCGCGACAGTGCCGTATGCCTTATGCTTTACTTATATCTCTGGTAAATAAAAGAGTAGCCTTTAAATATTAGGTACATAACACTTTCTTTCATCAGTTCAAGACTGATTGTTACTTTGATTATCTTTGGCTATTATTCGAATGAGTTTATTAATTAAATACTTTTAAAATACTTAAGGCTCAGTAAATAAAATAGTTCAAGACAATAAACAATATACAGTTTTAAAAGAATATGTGTGTTTATGGGTCTTGGCTTAACCGCCCGGAAGAAGAGGAGACTACCTTACCAAAAACCTAAATCCTACGGAGGCTCGACCAGGTCAAAGGGTCTAGCTAGAAGACTAGCCTCTAATGCTCTCATCCTTGGGGTGCAAACCATTGTATTCTCGACTCCCTTGCTTCAAAATGCGAGTCTCTGTAGAAGTGGATCGACTAACCCTTGCAGTGTATCACCAGCTTTGCAAGAACTAAAATGTAAATGTTGGCGAGTCGTCAACTCGAGGGAGGAGGGCCATTCTTCGACGGAAGAGGGTTAGGTTCTCACAATAGGGATTGACCTCAAATGCAAGGAGGCAATAGAGAAAAAAATATATATTCTCTATTATAGATCCGGGGCAACGCCGCTATCAGGTCTAACGAGAGATCAAGTTAAAACGGTGAAGAAATTGGAGACAGATTTTGTAACCGAAAATAAATTATTTTAGAAACAATTAAAATTTCAATTTTTATTTAATTCTGAATTTTTTATATTAACCCTCTGGCACAGCACTGTTTGGAGGCAAATGGTAACCATTTGGTTTCCAGTGTTATTAGTCCGTGTATTTTTTAGTCATTGGATAGAACACAACTCACTACCGCAAACTGTTGCTAGGATATATTCTATTAATTTTAATAACAGATAAAGGGAATTTCATTTATCTATGATTGTAAATGTATTTTTTAGACATTTTGTGAATGATCGTAAACTCGTAAGTATAAGGTTGAAACCACTAATATCGAGTTTCTGAATAAAGCTTAAGCTTATTCAGTGGTATTTAAAAAAATACTATTTTGGTCTGTAAATTTCTTTTTCTATTTATTTTCAAGAAATGGAACATACCGATTTCAAATA